TGGGGCGTGGCGCACCGAGGTCGGGCGTGCCCACCCCCCTGCACCACGAGTGCTCTTTCTCGGGGGGGGCGTGGGGGGGGGGAGGGGTTCGAACCGGTAGTGATCCCCCCAATCTTCTGGAAAAAGGGGCGGATGGGAGGTTCGAACCGGTAATGATCCCCCCCCGGGTTTTCCGGGAGGGGGGGGTGTTAGGGGAGGGGGGGGTTTTGCCGGGGGGGAAGGGGGGGGGTCCAGCAGGGGGGGGGATTTTCGGAGGGGGGGGGGACACATAGTCGAAAAGGATCGTCCCCAGACTATGTTTGGACTGTTTTGGGCGAGTCCTCGTGTAAAGGGACCCACAGGCGGATTCTGGATGAAAAATAATTATTCACTGCGTGGGGATCCCCATATGTGCATCTCCTTGCTGGCGCTCCCTTGGTGGTGGGACTCGGTGAGGATGAATCTGGATTTAAGTGTGACTGAGCTGCCTCTCTCTCTCTCTCTGCTCTCTCTCTGTCTCTCTCTCTCTCTCTGCCCTCTCTCTGTCTCTGCCTCTCTTTCCCTGCCTCTCTCTCTCTCTCTGCCTCTCTCTCTGCCTCTCTCTCTCTGCCTCTCTCTCTCTCTCTCTGCCTCTCTCTCTGTGCCTCTCTCTCTCTGCCTCTATCTCTGCTCTCTCTCTCTCTCTCTCTCTCCTCTCTCTCTTCTCTCTATTCTCTCTCTGCTCTCTCCTCTCTCTCTCACTCTCCCTCTCTCTCTCTCGCTCTCTCTCTTCTCTTCTCTTCTCTTCTCTTCTCTTCTCTTCTCTTCTCTTCTCTCTCTCTCTTTCTCTCTATCTCTCTCTCTCGCTCTCTTCCCTCGCTCTCTCTCTCTCTCTCTCTTCTCTCTCTCTCTCTCTCTCTTTCGCTCTCTCGCTCTCTCTTGCTCTCTCTCGCTCTCTGTCGCTCTCTCTCGCTCTCTCTCTCTCTCTCGCTCTCACTCGCTCTCTCTCGCTCTCTCTCGCTCTCCCTCGCTCTCTCCCGCTCTCTCTCTCTCTCTGCTCTCTCTCTCTCGTCTCTCGCTCTCTCTCTCTCTCTCTATCTCTCTCTTCTCTTCTCTTCGCTTCTCTTCTCTCTCTCTCTCTCTCTCTCTCTCTTCTCTCTCTCTCTCTCTCTCTCTCTCCCCCCCCCTCTCTCTCCACTTTCTCTCTCTCTCTCTCTCCTCTCTCTCTCCCTTCTATCTCTATCTCTCTCTCTCTCTCTCTCTCTCTTCTCGCTCTTCTCTCTTCTCTTCCCTCTCCTTCTCCCTCTTCTCTCGGTTCTTCTCTCGCCTGTCTCCTCTCTCAACTCCCCCTTTCTCTCTCTCTCTCTCTCCGCTCTCTCTCTCTCTCTCTCTCCTCTCCCTCTCTCTCGCTTCCTCTCTCTCTCTCTTGCTCTCTCTCTCTCTCTCTTGCTCTCCTTCTCTCTCTCTCTCTCTAGCTTCCTCTCTCTCTCTCTCTCTTCCTCGCTCTCTCTCTCTGTCTCTCTCGCTCGCTCGCTCGCTCGCTCGCTCTCTCTCTCTCTCTCTCGCTCGCGCTCGCGCTCTCTCTCTTTCTCTCTCTTTCTCTCTCTCTCTCTCTCTCTCTCCTCTCTGCTCTCTTTCCGCTCTCTCTCTCTCTCTCTCTCTCTTTCTCTCTCTCTCTCTCTCTCTCTCCTCTCTGCTCTCTTCGCTACTGGCTTCTGACGGAGTCTGGGTTAGGTGAGCCTGAGTGTGGGTGAGTCTGAGTATGGGTACGTCTGTGTGTGCCTGACTCTGAAGAAATGAATCTGAGTGTGAGTGAGCTTGTGTATGAGTGAGTCTGGGTGCGAGTCTGAATCCCAATGGTGCCCCTGGCAGTGTCTGGCGACTAGGAGGCCCGGGTCGACTCCTCTTTGGGAAGCCAAAATGCTGCCCCTGGCAGCGTTTGGTGACTATGAAGCCCCTGGTGGACCCCCCCTGGGGCTCCCAAATGATGCCCCTGGCAGCGTTTTGCGACCATGAGGCTCTCAAGAGATACATGTTGGGGAGGCCAAACGGCAATTTTAGCTGAGACGTCCCACCAAAATCGGCGCGAACGGGCTCGTGAGATCAGCCAGGGTGGCTCCCCCTTGGGGCTCCCAAATGATCCCTGATCAGCCAGGGTGGCTCCCCCTTGGGGCTCCCAAATGATGCCCCTGGCAGCGTTTTGTGACCATGAGGCTCTCAAGAGATACATGTTGGGGGCGCCAAACGGCAATTCTAGCTGAGACGTCCCACCAAAATCGGCGCGAACGGGCTCGTGAGATCAGCCAGGGTGGCTCCCCCTTGGGGCTCCCAAATGATGCCCCTGGCAGCGTTTTGTGACCATGAGGCTCTCAAGAGATACATGTTGGGGAGGCCAAACGGCAATTCTAGCTGAGACGTCCCACCAAAATCGGCGCGAACGGGCTCGTGAGATCAGCCAGGGTGGCTCCCCCTTGGGGCTCCCAAATGATGCCCCTGGCAGCGTTTTGTGACCATGAGGCTCTCAAGAGAGACATGTTGGGGAGGCCAAACGGCAATTTTAGCTGAGACGTCCCACCAAAATCGGCGCGAACGGGCTCGTGATATCAGCCAGGGTGGCTCCCCCTTGGGGCTCCCAAATGATGCCCCTGGCAGCGTTTTGTGACCATGAGGCTCTCAAGAGAGACATGTTGGGGAGGCCAAACGGCAATTTTAGCTGAGACGTCCCACCAAAATCGGCGCGAACGGGCTCGTGATATCAGCCAGGGTGGCTCCCCCTTGGGGCTCCCAAATGATGCCCCTGGCAGCGTTTTGTGATCATGAGAGAGTGTGAGTGTGAGTGAATGTGACTGTGAGTGAGTCTGAGTGAGAGTGAGTCTCATCTTATCTTATCGAGTCCTATCTTATCTTACCTTTATTACCCTCTATCTTATCTTATCTTGAAAACTCTTATCTTGTCTTAGCTTATCTTATATCAACTCATCTTGTCGCATCATATCTTGTCTTATCTTATTACTCCATAGGCTGTCTTATCTTATCTATTATCCTACCTTGTCATATATCTTATCTTACCTTATCATATCTTGTGCTATCTTATCTTATCTTGTAGTATATTATCTTGTCTTGTCTTATCTGGTGATTATCATTGAAAGGAGGGAGGCGCGAGCGGGAGGAAGGAGGAGCAGTGGGAGGCGTCAGAGTAATAACAAGAACCCCAATCCTTAGGATATGGGGAAAAATTGGGATGATAAACGGCCCTACCCTGGAATGACAGGTGCGTGGTCTGTAAACCTCGTGGGAACTCCCAAAAAGCCTAAGGGGGGCGCCAGGACGCCGCACACGCAGGGTTTACCCCGTCAGCCACAGGAGGTCCAGCGCACAGCGCTCGTCAACCAGGGTAGGGGCGCTTTTTTTTACGCCCTTGAACAAATATATAAACAATACTCACACATAGTCAAAGACTCGTTCCCAGGTTACTGCTTGACTGTTTTTGAATTTTCCTCCTGTAGAGGGACAGGCCCGACTTGACGTTGTGCAGCGGGGGTGGCGAAAAGAAGCACCCCTCGCGCGGCCTGACCTGGGACGGAAGAGTATCCCTTTCAAGTTGGGCGCGAATTGCTGGGGGGGCGATGAGTGGGAGGGGGAGAGCCCCAGACATGATCGCGTCGAAAAAAATCAGAACGGGAAAATTTTGGCCATTTTCGGCCTCTGGGGCACCTCGCCGGGCCTCGGGACCGTCCAAAAAGGGCTCAGGATGAAAAGCTGGACCTCGGGAAGGGACCCAGACTTCTGGGGGTCGACGTCATGAAAAATCATGACGTCGGGGGTCTGGGAAGAGGGGTGCTCTTTTTCGGGCCCTCAAGGCCCTCTCTGGGGCCTGCAGGGTCCCATCAGGGGGCCCTGAAGGGCCCCTTTTCTGCAGCCCTCGCTGCCCCTCAATCTATCGCCCCCCCATTACGCGCACCCTCATCAGGAATACGAGACCCTCCGCGGGCCAAACTGAAGAACATCTGAGGTCCCCCCCCGCAGGATGTACAAGACCATCTAACAAACACGAAGAGCACATCCAGCAAGCGCGAAGAACATGAGGGTGCCCTCCCCGAGCGGACCCTTGTAGGCCCCACAGTGCACGAAAGGGCACGAAAGGTGCACCTTTCCTCACCTCCTCGCCAGACCCCCGACTACATGATTTTGTCCCAGCGTCGACTCCCAGAGAGCTCGACCCACTCTCCGGGACCAGCTCTGCGTTCTAAGCGGCTTTTCGCAGTTCCTGAGGCCCGGTGAGGGCCCCCAGAAGCCGAAAAACGGCCAAACCCTCCCGTCATGATTTTGTCCCAGCGCGGGGGGGTCAGGGTTCCCTAGCATCCGACGTTGCGGAAAAATCCAACATCGCCAAAAATCGCGACCTGAGCCCCAGACTCTATCTTTCTGCATCAGTTTTCGAGCCGCATCGATCTGTGAGGGTCCCAGGGCCCGAAACCGAGCGAGAACGCCAGTTGTAACAAAAATATGCAACGCCAAGATCTGAGGGCCTCCTGCTTTTGTCACAGAGCGAGGGGGTCTGGGTCATTCCGGGTCTATCGCCCCCAGATTGCTGGACCAGAAAACAGACGACACCACCCCACCAACGGCCCCACGGGGCTTAGCGTGTACCGGGAGATCAGGCGTGGGTTTTTTTTTGCATGGCATGCGCTACGGCCCCCGATGGGTCGCGCAACATGGGGGGCCGAAGGGGGGTAAGGAACCTACGAACGAACGAGCGAAATGCCATACGTCGGAACGCGTGGGCAAAAGAAGACAGTGCCAACCTGAACTCGCCGCTTTGCGGGAACGGCTGCACATCGACCGTCTTTAGATGTACAATGCGCCCGGCTGGAGGTGGACAAGGGGGAGGAGGAGGAGGAGGAGGGCGAGACAAGAGGGCGGCACAACACACAACTCTGGTGCAGCTCGAGAATGCCAGAGAGCAGGGGAGCGTAAATGGCCCCCTCCGCCTCCGCTCCCCTCCTCCTCCTCCTCCTCCTCCTCCTCCTCCTCCTCCTCCT